GTGTGTGTGTGTGTGTGTGTGTGTGTGTGTGTGTGTGTGTAACCGGGGATTGAACTCAGGCCCTTGTACTTGCCAGGGAAACACTTATTCTGTTGAGCCATCTCCCCGGCCCAACTCCTTATTCTTAAGAATTGCCTCAGTATCCTTGTCTCCCTCTCTACACTACCTTATTTCTTTTTCCCAGCTCAGACAAGCCTTTTAAACCAAGCTTCTTTATGAGCTTTCTTTTCTAAAACTTCATTCTTTTGACATCTATTTTTAATTATGTAAGCAATACATGTACATATTCTCCCTGCCTCAGAGGTAATCACTGTTCTCAGTCTGTTGAGTATCATTCCCCATCGTTTCTATGTATTTACACATAGAAATACGGAGAAGTGCTTGTTGTTTTACAGGGCGAAGGGGATAGATTTATACAAATGGCACCATGTTCTATGTGTCATTCTGCAACTTCTTTTCTTCATGTAACAACACAATTCGGTGCTCTAACCAGATGAGCGCATATGAATCTACCTCATTCTTTTAATCTGCTAAATATAATTCTATGGTATGGTTGTATCATAGTTCATTTCACTGTTAACTGACAGAAATTCACATGAAGCTTTTTTATTCAATAACCAATGCTGCAATAAACGTCCTCTCTGTATGCTTCCCAGGAACATGTACAATTGTTTCTCCAGGCTGTATGTTTTAAAATGGAACTGCTGGGTCATGAATCATTCACATTTAAAATTTTAAGAGATGCTGCCAAATTTGCCCTCCTGAAACACTCTGTATCAATTTACACTCCCACCAACATGAATGAAATTACCTTGTGTTAGTGGATATTATGCCATCTTTTATTTTGGCAAATGTGACGGACACAAAATATTTCACTGTTTCATTTCCCTGAATCACTGATGAAACTGAGCATCATTTCATGCGGTGATTGGTCATTTGTATTTCCCCTTTGTCAATTATCTGTTTATTTCTCAATGAATTACAAAGGCTGTTTATACATTCTAGAAAAATTCTTTGTTACATAGGTTGCAAATATTTCTGCCCCATCTGTAGCTTATGTTTACATTTAAGACATCTTTCAAATGAGTATTTTTTATTTTAATGAATTTAAATGTTACTCTATTCTTCTATAACTTGGGAGTTCTGTTCATGATTCGAAAAGCCTTCTCTATCATCAAAGTTATAAAAATATTCTCCCACATTTCCTCCTTATATTTTTAGAATTTGTTTCTAGTCCAATAGGAATCTATTTTTGGGAGTGGCATTTGTGTAAGAGGGTCTCATTTTACTTTTTTTTCTAAATGGATGGCCTATTTTCCCAGCACCATTTCTTAAATAGATCATTCTTTTCCTGCTGACTTACATATACTAAATTTCCATGTAAACACGAATCTGACAGACTCATGTTTTGTTCTCGTGTTCTTCTTGAGATTCTGATGCTCGTACATCCATGGCTTTCATTCATTCAGCAATTGTGGCAATCTAGGCTCTACCCACAATTCCCCTTGAATTATTCCTAAATCTATCAAGGATCTTCATGTTACCAAACTCAATGGCTATTTTTCAGTTCTTTTTTTCCTGGATACCATTTATCATTTCTTCCCATATACTGGAAGCTATAACTCTTGATTCTTCTATCAATAAAAACTATGATTACAACAGGACCTTCTGTTTCTAAGGTACTTACTCTGTATGAGGTATTGTTTAAGCATTTCATATGCCATATACATCAAGTATGCTTCGTCACAGCCCTCTACAGCAAGGGTTATTGTCATCGCTGTCCTCCCTTCCCAGGAAACTTGAGAATAGGCACAGAGTAGTTTACTATCTCCCTTAAGCTTCCTGAGCTACCAACTAGCAAGATGAGATTTGAACCCAAGTGTGTCTGAGACCAAAGCCTAAGTCCCCAGGCGCTTCCCCCTCCAGACTGCTTTCCACAGTCTCCCCCTCAGGTTCCATTTTTCCCAGCATTGTTTAACTGGTAGCTTTCTAGAATGTCCAGTCTGAGTTGCTGCTCTTCCCAGTTGAAGCACATGCCCCAGATAAAGCAAGGCATTCTGATGTCCTGTCTAAATGCAGCTGCACTGCTCTGAGTGCGCTTAAGTAGCCTGGTAGCATGTAGAAATCATCGCTTTCTATCAGAGATCCCTGCAGCTTGTAAGAGACCCCTGCTGCCCAGTCTAGTTGCAGGGAAGCTGCTCATTCCCACTTACTTTAGTTTGTTATTATTTTATATTTTATAAGTAAGTATCATGTTTATAATTAGGAAAAAATAAGAATATTTTAAAAATATAATGGAACCATATTAGCCTGTAGGGGCAGTATCTATTCAGCACTTCTAAAGTGTAATTATTAAGGCGTTGCCCATTGTTAGATATGGTGAATGTATGTGACTGAAAGAACTGTGCAAAATTTAATTGAGGAGTTCCTGAAAAATCTGCAGCTGAGATTAAGCACTCAGATTGTAGCCGAACTAGCCCTTTCTCCAGGCCCTAATTCATTCTCAACCAAATAAGATGAGCACAATAAACAAGCCTATATAAAAACAGAGGTGTCTTTCTTCTAGAATTTCAAATGGAAAACAATTCAATTCATTATTAAGAAGCTACATCTATTCATTCATTGTAAAGAAGGGAGTTCAACTGTTGTAGCTTTAAGGGAGAAGCACAATTGGAGATACAGTCCATCGGAGAAACAAGAGACTCCTCAAGGGATGAGCAGCCCTTGCTCAAAATGATGAATGGTGCTTTCTGAAATGGGCCTGGAGGTCCCTTTGGACCCTCTCAGACTCCATAAAACCTGGATCTGCCTCTGGGCCAGTGGCTGCAATGAGCTAGGGGAAAAGCCAGGGGACTTGAGCTCCAAGAAGCAGGAGCCAGATCCTGGGGCAATTTATAGAGTATGCAGATCTGCAGCCATTGAAAAGGTTTAAGAAAGACAATGGTGTGTGGTCTGACCCCACCCATGCACACATGAATTGAATTGCTTTCCATTTGAAATTCTAGAAGACATCTGAGTTAGAGCCCATGACCTGCACCCCCTCCTGGACCCCAGCCCTCTCTCACCACATGCCTCCTCTAAGCTTTACTCCAACCCTCACTCACACACCAGGCTCTCCCTTTTCTCCTGCTCAGTCCCTTTCGGGATAGTAGGCCCAGTCTGCTGACCTCACAGACCCTAGTTTTTGTCTTCAATCCACTCTATGCTGACTCATAGATAATGTTACCTGTGTCCACTGTTGGAATGAATCTCTACCTTGACAACCCGAAGCTGTATTTCTCATCTAGACCCTCTGCAGGACTCCAGTCTGTCCACTTAGCTGTCTACCACTGAAGGTTATCACGGCTCCTGATATTCTAGAGCCAGCTCAACTGCAACATGTCCCAAGCAAAGAGTGTTATCTTTAAGTGAGGTTCTTAACTCATGGGAGGCCACTACCATTTGTCCACTTCCCAAAGTCAGAAATTCAGGCCTCATTCTAGATTATTCTTTTGCCTTCATAACTACACATGCATGCTGTAGTTCGATCCCCACAACACTCCAGCCATCCAAAAGTGCCCTGAAGGCATTCAAGGAGCAAAAAAAAAAGTCCTTATTCCATAACTACACATGCAGTATCTATTAAAACCTACTGCTTTTACCTACTCAATAGTTACCAAATCTCTCTCCTCTTCCCCAGCTCAGCAGCTATTCAACCTTTTGCCTCAATCTAATTGATCTAATAGTCTCTTCACTGAAATTTTTGTGTTTCTAGCATATTTTCATGCCACACCACAGGACTTTATTCAAAGGACAATCAGACCACACACCATTGTCTTTCTTAAACCTTTTCAATGACTGCAGATCCACACACTCTATAAATCACCCCAGGATCTGGCTCCTGCTTCTTGGGGCTCCTGTGCCCTGGCTTTTCCCCAGCTCATTCCAGCCACTGGCCCAGAGGCAGATCCAGGTTTTATGGCATCTGGAAGGGCCCAAAGGGTCATCCAAGAAAAGTAATAATGAACTTATGGCTTAAAACTAGTTACAGGGCCTTGGAAGGAATCTATGCACGGGACAGCCTTAAGTTTCACCAGCTTCTCAGTAACTCTGCCTCTGAATAGCAAAAAAAAAAAAAAAAGGCAACCTGTAGTTCCTTAGAACAGGCCAGCTTCCACAACACGGCTTTACCCTTGTGCAAACAGTCACCTCTGCTTGGAATGCCCTTCTCTCCTGTCCCTCATCTGTAGGGAAAGTAGCTGCCCTTTTAGGGTCAGTTCAGGGGCCAGGTATATAGTTCAGTAGCATAAGTGCCT